GTATTTATATGGATGGTACAACAAACGTGTTGGAATGAGATAATTAGATGCAAAATTTAAGAGTTTTAACTAAAGTACTAAACCAAAAAAATTAAAAGTAATTGCAGTTCAGTGCACTTAAAAATTTAAATTAATTATTTAATGTTTTGTTCAGGATGTTAGTAATATAGTTAAGTCTTTTATGCTCAAGCTGTTTTTTTTTTAACTTTTGTATTTATGTTATTGCATTTAAAAAAATTGATATGATTAAAAAAAACAAAAAACATTGTCTCATCCAAATAAACAATTTTAAACTTCGTTTTTAGATTCTCTCTTCCCTTGATAATTGATTCCCTTGATTCTCTTGATAATTTCCGAATGTTAAAATTCAGTAATCTTCTTCTTTAGGTCGTTTTTAAATATTAGAAAAAAGTGGGGAGTTTTTGTTTAAAATGTTTTGGTTTAATTGAAGAGTTGAGTACTAAAAATACTCAAAAAATATTAATCGCTTAACTTAATATTCCTCATTCGTGCGTGCTTACATGGACTTTTTTACTATTTACTATAAATAGGATTTAGCATGCTTTATTCCTTTATACTTTTGAACTCACGCGATGAGATACTCTCAAAACTTAATAATCTGGTAGTATCTGCTTAATCAGTAATAAGTTTAAAAACTTTGCTTCGTTAACTTAATTAGTAATAAGATCTACAATTTTTATTTGATAACTTTTTTAGTAAAGGATAAACCTTATGTTAATTTTGAATTTGTAAAGTAACTTTTAAAGTCTGGTAATTTATATAATTTATGCATTATAATAATAACACAATTCAATTCTTTTGTCAATTAAATTAATTTGTAATTTTTAAATTGATGATGAAAAGTAAATTTAATTTTTTCGTTAAGTAAGTGTTTTGGTTAAGTATTTCTCAAAAAATATTTTTTAGAAATTTCTTTGATTAGAGATATAACACTTTAAAATAAGAATTTAAAATGGCTGATCAAAGTAAATTTTTTCATAAAATTTATTTTATGACTTAAGTACATTTAGCAAATCGTTGAAGCCAAATTTTTTTAGATATGTGAAGTCATTTTGTGGCAAAAAACTAACTAGAAAAAAGATTTTGCTTAATTTTTTTAGAATAGTTCATTTTATTAAAAGTATACAGAATATATTTTTTTGTTTCAATAAATATAGTAATTACAATGTTATTTCTTTAAGACTATTTATTTATTACTATTGTAATAAATACAAACTCTTAAACTCTTACCTGTATATCTGAAATATATATCTGTAACAGTTTTTTTTGTGCATTTGTATGCAAATTAGTTTAAAATTTATCAAAAAATGTGAGATAAATGCAAAAGCAAACTTGATGTATAGTTTTTTTTTTTTTTTTTTTTGCCACAAACTGATGAGTTTACAACTTCAAGAATTTTGTTCTTTAATGATATCACTGCACATAGCGGAGGATAAATTTTTGTAAGTACGTGTTTAAACATGCTGTCGATTTTACTATTCTGGTGTTGAATTTGAAAGTAAAATGTGAGTTATTGTTTTGGTGTAGACTAAGTGTGATTAGAGTGATAATATTTGTTTAAGTGTACTGGTGTATAAAGCATCAATATGTTCCTCAATTGGAACGATACTATAATTGTTTACATCATGAGGATCAATACCAGCTGCTTTTTGAAGACAATTTAAAAAAAACTTGCATCTTGGATTTAGTTCTATTAGTTGTGGAGATGAGGACATTTTCGGTAAAATGGCAATAGGCACAGTAAGCAAATATAAGCTTAGATTTAAGCCATCATTCACATATTTTGAGTTGCTTTAAAAGATATTAGTAAGGGGAAGTTTTATTAAACAGGGTCAAACATTAATTTTTTAAACTTTAAATTTGAGTGGAGTTTGCTGTAGTAATTGTTTGTGGTAAGAGTTTTCAAGAATTTTGTTCTTTAATTTAAATCTTCAAGCTTTAGGACCAAATATAAATAACTTTGCATTTGGTTGTGTTGGGAAACATTTTGTTATCATTGCACCATCATAGAAGCTACTTCTTGCAGAAAGTAAGAGTTTTTACCAATTATGTAAGTTAAGATCTGCATATTTCTTATGGGGAATACTTGTCAGAAGATTTAACATATGAATGTATTATGCATAATTTATCAATTATGTCCAGTACATAGGTTAAAAAGAGTATTGGACCAAGGATACTTCCTTTATCTCTCCAGATAATCCATCATTCTTTGATATAAAATGATAAATAAAAAATAAATATAGAACTAATTTAAACAGGAATAGAAAATAAATAATAGAAAACAAAATAAAAAATTTATTTAAACAGGAGGAAAACTCATATCCTTTGTATTAAGCACCTGGTAGTATACTTAGATCACAACAACAACAACAGCAAGAATATATTTATTCTCCTTTTCAAATTATACAATAATATTATAATAATAATAAATATAATAACATTAATATGAAAAAAAAAAAAAATCATAATTCTATTATAGTAAGTAAAAATAATTGATATATATATATATATATATATATATATATATATATATATATATATATATATATATATATATATATATATATATATATATATATATGTATGTATGTATATATAAAATAATAATATAAATTAATATAATAATGAGTAAATTAATTATAAATATTTAATAATAATAACTAAATGATTGATAAGGATGGTGTCACTCAAGCAGAATTCTGATCAAAGGAGTGACACCAGTTTTTAAATATAATATAATTAATAATAACAAGTTAATGTTACAATTTTTAGAAAAATATATCAACTTTTTCTTAAATAAGAATAGTTAATTGGATTTGACAATATCAAAGACGATGTATTTTGTACATTTAGTGATAAAGATATGCTCCTATGTGTTCTATTCTATGCTTACCCCTTAAGTTTGATAATTTTCTATGCACCTGCTAAATGTCATAAAAATTACCCAATACATAAAATTTGTTAGTTATTTTTTTCTATTCAGGGACCTTTAGTGTGAACTTTAAATATTTTTTTAAGTTCACACTAAAGAGTGTGAACTTTAATAAATATTTCAAAATATTTAGTTATTTTAATTCTAATCTATTTATTTACTTTTTACATTTATTTAATCTAGTTATTTTCTTTTGATTAGTATTTTAACTATTTGTAAAAGTCCTTAAATATATAATTGAAAAACATAAACATGTTATAATATATAATACATGTTTACTTGTACATGTTATTGTAAAAATGTAATATGTAAATGTAATTATCACATGAGAATTATAGGGTTTGAACTTATGAATACTTTGGAACAAATCACTTTTAAACTATTTTGTAAAGTCCTGGATCCCAGTTTCTGTTTTTTTTGACTAGGCAACTCATTCAATTATGTCTTAATGAGGGTACCGCTCTGAAACTAAGTTTTATGGTTCTGAGGCTAGCTTGTAGTCCGGTTTTCCCTTCTCTTTGGTAGCTCTCAGAGAGGCTGATTCCATCAACAGCTTTAAAATATCAGACGCAAATAGTGTCATGTTGTGCATAGGTGTACTGTTGTCATGTCATAGTGTCATGTTGTCCATATTTGTACTTTTGACGTGTTTTGTCAAGGCCATATTTGGAGCCCAATTAGCAAAGTTAGCATCTGCTAAAGCTGCTAATTTTTGAATCTGCATCAAGTCCCATCAACATCAAGTTTAAGGTAAAACCGTCTGAAACTTTATTTGATAAATTTTTTCTGGTCATGATTGACTTGTTGAAAAATAAACATAGTTTTGAAAAAAGAGGTTTGACAAATAATAAATTAAAGTAATTTGGAAAATGGATATACTAAAATTTCAAAAAATCATTTAAAATTATAAAATTTTATGATTTATGGTAGGTTTTATATAATTCGCTTTGTTGATAAATATAGGATTAACTATAACTATTCATTTTTTTTTGTTTTGATAATTTACTTCATTTTACTGGTAGAAATGCTTTTTTTTTTAATAAATGAACGAAGTTCTTATTTTATTATTATTTTCATTAATAAAATTTTATTCATTATTTTAATAATAATATATAATAGTTGCTGTATTTAACTAAAGAACATTTTTTTTTTCAATGGTACTTTTTATTAAGTAATTTTTTTTTTTTTAATCTTTTTAATTTCTCGTAAATTTTTGCTGCAATTCACAAAAAACAATTGATTTATAGATAAATTTAAAATTACTTTTTGCGCATTTTTTTTTTGTATGGATTATATGTACTTAGGGTTGTTATAAAAGTTTGTAGAGATAGATCTTTAAAATTACAATAAAACAGGAAATGATTTAATATTCATATATCATCTTAAACTGTATTTATTTATGAACATTTTTAGTATAAGTTGAAATACCTTGAATGTGTATTGAAAAAATTATTTGATTTTTAAAACACTTTTAAAAAGAAAATTATTAAAAAAAAAATTGAATATCAAGCATATATATAAATCTGAGCTCTACTTGGATTTTCTGCACAACCACAAACCAATTAATTGGTTTTAGTTCATGGTGACCAATATATATATATATATATATATATATATATTATATATATATATATATATATATATATAATATATATATATATATATATATATATATATATATATATATATATATATATATGTTGTTACATGTTTATACATTTAAATTGAAACTTGATTCGTTGTTTTACTTCTTGACTTTATTATATGTGAACTTGGTTTGGATTTATGAAATTAAAGCCATTTTTCGAAATCATTTATAATTTTTTTTACTAAAAAATCTAGTAAAAATCTTCCACATAATGGATTGTATAATTTTTTCTTTTTTTTACATTTTCTACAGTTGAATAGTTGATATTTGATTACTGTAGATCTTTAGCTACATAATTTATAAGAATAAACTAACATTAAAAGTATTATTTATTTTTAGAATGTATATTAATTCTTTTGCAATCTTATTTTTTTGCAACTTTTTTTTCTGAATTCTTAGATAGAAAATACTGGCGATCCATGGAGTCCCATCAGCTATCAAAATGCTAGACAAATTAACTATTTTGATTCAACTTATTTTTTATTAGTAATTATTTTTATAATTATTTTTTTTAGTAATTATTGCTGTGATTTCTATATTATATACTGTTATATTTTTTGTGAATATTAAATTTTTGAATTTTTTGTTAATTTTTTGTATATGCATGTTTTTTTCCAAAAAAAACAAGTTTTTCATAAAAAAAGGTACACAATAAAATTTTGTGGATTTTTGTTTTTTTATTTTTAGGTTACTATGTCAACAGTTGGATATGGTGATATAACATGTAAGACATATCTAGGCAGGATATTTGGAATGATGTTTATTGGTGTTGGATTGGTTAGTTGATTTTTTCAATTTTTAATAGGCAGGAAAGTTTAAAAAGTAAAGAAAAATTTTGTTGTTTCTGAATATTCACTTTATTTATAAAATGGACATTTGAAATAACTTGTTTTTAAATCACTGTTTTTGTAATTTGAGGTGGGTAGATATTTGGAAATTTTATATATCATATTGGCCAGATACCATCTAGCCATATTTATAGTATATTTAGTTATGTTTTCTAAATGGATGGGTAAATGAATTTGTTTTATTTATCCAATTTTCAGTTTTATGTTGTTTTAATTAACATTATTGCCAAATCTTTGGCATAGAAAATTCGCTGAGTGGTCACACATGAGTAGTGAATGCCTGAGGGAAGAAATGAAGTACATTAGAATTATTTTTCTAACAAGCGTATGAACAAAGCATATTTTGACAGTTGTCAAGACAAAAATAAAGATAAATAGAGGAATATCTAAAAATAAATAAGACAATGCAAACAGTACTTACAATAATAATAATAAAAACAACAACAATATTTTACAGACAATACACCTAAACAGTACTTACAATAATAATAATAATAAAAAAAACAATATTTTATAAACACTAATTAAACCAAGGTATACAGCAAATATACCAAACAAACAATATACCAAACAAAAACTTATAAAACAAAAAATTGATTACAAAATAAAAAGAATGCTTAAAATGTATAAGAGTAACTTCTCAACATAACCTCTGAAAATAAAAATTTAAGGAACAATGAGTTGCAACAGTTGGTGCAGTCATTAAAATACTGATGATGGATTTATAGTTCAGAGATTTAATGTTGACGCTTTAACTAAAAAAGTGAAATGAATGGAATGAAGGAAAACTTCATTAAATACTTTTATCTGTGATAAAAATTATACAAAAAAAAATTTATTGTAAATCTTATTTTATTTTAAACTATATAAGAAACAAAGTGAAATAATTTTTCAGGGTTTGTTTGCATCCTATCTTCCTGCAATTTCAAATTTTTTCGCTTCACACACAAAGTATAATAAAGAGTTTAATATAATACCAGGAAAAAAGTAAG